TCCCGCCAGCGACTCCCCCACCGCACTCCCCCACCGCCTCCCACCACTGCCTCCCCACCGCCTCCCCCACCGCCTCCGCCACCGCGCTCCCACCGCCTCCACCACACGCCTTCCCCCCACCGCCTTCCCCCCACCGCCTCCCCACCGCCTCCCACCACTGCCTCCCCCACCGCCTCCCCCACCGCCTCCCCATCCGCCTCCATCGCTCCCACCGCCTCCACCCACCGCTCTTCCCACCGCCTCCAAATCGCCTCCCCACCGCCTTCCCACCGCCTCCCCCCAATCGCCTCCCTCACCGCCTCCCACCGCCTCCCACCCGCTCCCCCATCGCCTCCCCACCGCCTCCCAATCGCCTCCCCCCACGCCTCCCCCACGCCTCTCCCACCGCCTCCCACCCGCCTGCCCATCGCCGCCCGCCACCGCCTTCCCCCCAACCGCTCTCCACCGCCTCCCCCACGCCTCCCATCGCCTCCCTCACCGCCTCCCCCACCGCTCTCCCACCGCCTTCCCACCGCTCCCCATCGCCTCCCAATCGCCTCCCCCGCTGCCTTCCGCCACTGCCTCCCACCTCTGCCTCCGACGATGACGACGTGACGCGGGAGTTGCGTGGAAAAAAATTTATATTGCGATATAAAACGCGGTGCGTTGCCGATCGCGCGGTTTTACGATCGGCGATTAGACACGAACGTATACGTAACCGGTGGCGTGTTGTGTTCGTTACACGCAGTATGGTGGACGAAACGCACGCCGGATGCTGGAAACCTCCTGCCACACGGTAAGTGAGCCTCGAGTAACAAACAGGTGATCGTATAACTATATAACCAGGAGCAACAGGTCGGGCGTGAATGACAACGAGTTGTTTTTGCTTGCTGATGCACACGCGCTGCGGAGGTTAAGAACCCACTGTTACGACCCATTAGTTGTGATCGGAAGTTAGATTTACGAACATTCACGAAATTAGATTCGCTCCGTTCGAGAGATTTCTTATTCATGTGCTTGCCCATGTGCTTGCATTCATGTGAATGAAAACGATTCGTGTTTTATATTCACTCATATATACATTTTACGAGTGAGAACGGAGCTGTAACTCATGGGTAGAGAATTTTAATTGTAATTATAAATCTTCACGTTTTCGTTTTACTTCTATACCTATATACCTGCGTTCCTTATACTGTTGATTTTAACTGATAGATCGTAACAGTTGTTTTTTATGCGTGGTCGCACGCATGCGCATGCTGCATGCCGGCCTTATAGTGTGACACTCTGCTAACACCGCCCCCTTCTTTCTCGCAGCCATCTGTCCACAATTTGTTCTGCTTACATCTCGAAAGTGATTTGCTAATTCTTATTGATATTTGCGTTAATTGTAATACCTGACTGGGCAAGTTGGTTGAAACTGGTTTGGTGACGTTGCCATTGGAATGGTTGCTGTGGCGAACTTTGGTACACGTATATTTTCAAACGAAATGAGTGTTTCTTTCCAAATTGGCACAGAATGTGTATTTGAATAATTAAACTATCATATCAAGTTTACTCGTCTTCATATAACATGGTTATAATATATAATTAAGTGATCAAATTACTTGCAAAATCGCTTTGCCAGCCGCCGACAAATTTGGGACGTTCGCCATTTTGCGTTATCGTATAGTCTTTTCTTGCACACTTGATGCCCAACAAGCTTCCCGATCATTCTACAGAATTTTGGGCTTGCCGTTTGAAGCAACCTCCATCATTGCGCTTGTGTACAACGTACTGTACACTGAGAATAATACTTGCATGTTGTCCTGCATTTTTAAAAGTTTACCACTCAGATTTTCTTGTCGAGGCATACCTTCGTAAATTTGCTCGCCATGTCGTTGTTATTCCTCATATATATATATATGTATATATATATATATATATATACGTTGTTTGTTATTTGTTGTGTGATGTCGGCTTGCAGTGTGCTTGTCGTCTGCTTGATTTCGTACGGTTGTAGGTAATGTGCATTCTTGCATGAGTTCGTTTGTTCCGCCATATACTAAAACACTCCATCAAACGTAAGCCTAACATGTGACGCTATTAACCTATGCTAACTAGCTGTGATACAGAGCGTTCTCTAACTCGCGCTCTCTCACACACACTCACATTTATCTATCTATCTATCTATCTATCTATCTATCTATCTATCCTATCTATCTAATCTATCTATCTTCTATCTATCTATCTATCTATCTATCTATCTATCTATCCATCTATCTATCTAACTATCTATCCGTCCGTCCGCTCGCCTGGCTGTCTGCCTGTATATCTATCTATCTATCTATTATCGTATCTATCTATCGTATCTATCTATCCATCTATCGATCTAATCTATCTATCTATCTATCTATCTATCTATCTATCTATCTATCTATTTATCTATCTATCTATCTATCCAGCAATCTATCTATCTATCTATCTCTGTGTAGCAGCTGTATCAATGTACCGTAGTGTTTGTTTGCATGAGAACTCAACCTGCATGCGGTTCATCTGACACGTAAAACACGTCATTGAAATCGCCCGTTAACATTCCAGAATCATCTAGAGGCTACGGTTGTGAGATGACAACAGCTATTTTTGGTAGGTATGCCAAGATGTATGTAGAGCAAGTGCGTTGTGGCGTGGTGGGCGGATAGTGCTTTATTAGTGGGTGGGTAGTGGTGGGTGGGTAGTGGTGGCTGGGTAGTGGTAGAGTGAGCGTGGGTTGGTGGCGTGATGCTGTAGCGGCGGTGGATAAAGGTAGTGTTAATAGGATAAAAGCTTTTATAGTGATTATTTTATTCTCATTGCTAAAACGACAAAAATATTGGCACTTCTATGATGGATACTATTGCTGTTTAATGAGTTTGCTTTTACGACATCTCTATTTTACTAGCCAACTAGTTTTAATAAAAAGCCTCAATATTTTGGATTCGGTGTTTATGACGTTATGAAAGCTATGTAAATATAACCCCCGGCAAGTCAAATAGTCTCTCTCCCCCTTTCTCTCTCTCTCTCTTCTCTTCTCTCCCCCCCCTCTCTCTCTCTCTCTTTCTCTCCTTCACCCCTCTCTCTCTCTCTCTCCTCTCTCTTCTCTCTCTCTCTCTCTCTTTCTCTCTCTCTCTCTCTGTCTCTCTTGATCTCTCCTCTATCTCTCTCTCGCTCTCTGCGTGCGTGTGTGTGCGTGCGTGCATGTGAGTGCGTGCGTGCGCGTATGTGTGCGCGTGCGCGCGTGTGTGTGCCTAACGTAAAATTTACGCAATTATTTACAGATGTTTGCTTATGGAATAGTGCTTGTGTGTGCGCGTAAGTGGGTGTAGTGCTGTCTATGACTATTTTTTAAGTTTGCGGTTGTTAGCAGACGTTCGCAAATCTCTGACGTCACAAATTGAAGCCTCCATGTAATTTTACAGTCTATAAAACGCAAATATTATCGGCGTCCACAATGCATGCCCAAGAGTCGCAGTATCTATATTATGTGTGTGCTATGTCTATACGTGTATGTTATGTCTTTATGTGTATATTATGCCTATACATGTACGTTATATCTATATGTGCATGTTATGTCTATTATGTGTTATTATGCCCTATACATGTACGTTATGTCCTATACGTGTATGTTATGTCTTTATGTGTATATTATGCCTATACATGTTACGTTATGTCTAATACGTGTATGTTATGTCTTTATGTGTATATTATGCCTATCTACATGTACGTTATATTTATATGTGTATATTTATGTCTTATTGGTATATTATGCCTATACATGTACGTTATATCTATACGTGTATGTTATGTCTTTATGTGTATATTATGCCTATACATGTACGTTATATCTATACGTGTATGTTATGTCTTTATGTGTATATTATGCCCTATACATGTACGTTATATCTATACGTGGTATTGTTATGTCTTTATGTGTATATTATGCCTATACATGTACGTTGTATCTGTATGTGTATGTTATGACTATATGTTTTTTATCCATATCTATATGTGTATGCTATATCTATATGTGCTTTATCTCTATCTATATGTGTATGCTATGTGTGTCGTGTACGCATTCTTTTGCGCAACGCCATCTTGTACACGGGTCTCTCTGGATGCTATGTCTATATGTGCTTTATCTCTATCTATATGTGCATACGTACTATAACAGCAGCCGATAACTTGCCTGTAATGCGCTGCATTGCCAGAGTGCTACGTGGAGCGATGCGTGGAAGGCTTCGTAGGGTGCGCCACCAACGCCGCCAGCAGCGAGGAGTTTGCGAGCTGCATCATGGTGCACCGGATGTGGCGCACAAGGTGCTGCAGGATCGATCATCCGCAACGATGACCATCGCTGACTAACTTCACCGGCGTTCTCCGTTCAGTCTCTGTGCTCTACGTTTCGGCGCCTTAGAGAAGCAGTCTCAACGATTACTACCGTGAAATTGTATATGTATAATATAGTCTTGTCTGTTTGCCGCGAGGCGCCTTCTTGCGTGCCGTCAGCAGCGCCCTTTGGGGCCGAGTTCGATACGAAGTGCTGTTATGATTTTTTTTCAGCGTGATTTCGCGTGCGTAGTTGTATGTCGATGATTATATGAGATATGAATAATTTTTATTGATTCTTCTTCTTCTTGATAATAGCTTATGGTGCCCTGCAATTGTCATTTTAGCGTGTAAGGCGGACTTAGGCGTTCATGCCGATGCACAATTTAGCGGCATGATGACGCTCAGATAAAAAAAAATCGAGAAACACGGCGATCTAATATCGATTGCTTGATCAACGTGACCCTTCTTGAAGGGGAAAACGTAGTTTTTACGTTGCAATCGCGGCGTGCATCATTGTGGATGGCCGGAATCTCTCCGAGTGTAGTAGAGAGACCTATGCGGAGCGGTCTCATTGACATTTAACTATATATATATATGACAAGCGTCGTAGAAGAACTTCATCGATTGAAAAATAAAAGTTGGCGTTATCATCAACAATATTGATATCGTGTTTTAATTAATATATTCAATTTTATTTTTGTTTTGTTTTGTTTCAGTTCTTCACGCCTTACGTGCGTCTTTTTTTATTTATTTATTGTAGGCGAATACGACTCCAGAATACATATATACGCATATCATGCGGAAAACTGTACGTAAAACACAAAAAGCACAACTTTCACTTACAATGTACTCGTTGTTTCTTGCACTTTCTTTTTCTCGCATCGTCTATGATTACGATAGTGTCTATTATTATTATTATTATTATTATTATTTATTTTTATTATTTATTATTATTATTATTATTATTATTATTATTATTATTATTATTATTATTATTAATGTTGACACTTCTCCCTGTAATGTAAGAAACTAGTTCCACACCATAGACAACGCGTGATGCTGTGTGCAGCTATTTGCATTAGGTTAATTTTAGGCAATAAATGTTTAGTTATGTTGCTTTTCTGGAACGTGTCATCATATTCAATCCTACATATTTCGTGAAGCCATTCCGATGTTGCCCCCCCCCCCATGTAAATCGCTTTACGCATTCTTCATTTTTGGCGATTCGTCTCCAATTGATGTGATTGTGAATGAACAGTTACCATCATCTTTTTTCCTCACTTACTGTTCCGGTGACTACTTCTACTTACAGGTAGGCAAATTCAAGTCAAATCTAAAAAAATGGGTGGGCGGAATTTTGCTGTGTTATTCGCGTGTAACTTCTTTACAACAAGCACGCACGCACGTAGGCCTACGGTCGGGCGCATTTTAGGCGCATATATACATATAGTACATCACGGACGCGCAAATGTTTTCAGCACACACGCACACACACACGCACGCATGGACACGCGCACGGGCATACACATACAAAATATGCAGGCGCGCGTGCGTGCGCAGACATACAAGCACACGAACGCACACACGCAGGCACTCGCCTACAGACTGACAGACACACGTACCCCACGCGCGCAAGCACACAGGCACACACGCGCGAGCGCACATGCGCACGGTATAACGTCGCGTCGTAAATAATTCGACATTTGAGCTGTAAATAATTATATTATGTATTATTATAATTATTATTTACAGCTCTGTGGATCCGTCCAATTGAAATCCTTAGCCTGACATGAAGCTCAACGCAAGTGCCGCATATGCGATCGAAGCGCCCCATGTAGTGGCGTCTCACATGCTAATAACCAAAGATCGTATCCTCCGGCACTGTACGATCTTTGCTAATAACAAACACAGTTATAGGCTACTACTAATAGTAATAGTAATATATACATAACAGCGGAAAATGAACCGCTTCTGCTTTTGTGTGGATGGTTGCGGAGAGGCAACTGCCAGCTTCTGTTGTTCAGGTATGACTCTTTTCGCAAGTGTGGTTATATAATGTCAGGTTATATACTATAGCAGAATAACATTACACCTGCCACATTGAATCGAAATCAGCCCGGCTTTTCCTATCATATCTTCGATAAATAAACACTGAGACAGCACGAAGATTTGCTCCGTTTTCTATTTGCAATGCGGGCCCGATATAGGCTGAATTTTCATTGGCTAAAACTTGGTGCGTGCACCAGGCCCGATCAGGCCCCGATCTCGATCATGATGCGGGCCTTTAAAATCCCTTACCTACAGGCCCGGCAGGCCTGTAAATTAACTAAATTTTCAAACTAATTTCTACCCCTGTAACTGGTTGCAAATAAAATAGGCCATTACCCATGTCCCTCGTAAGATTATTTGCAATAAGGCTCCTTATTATCTTTATATAATTATTTTTATTTTTATATTTATTATCTTTGCTTGGTTTGTTGTAATCTATGCATGCGGAAGAGGAATCGCTTGTTCCGAAGGGCCAGGCATTCTAAAATGCCTATTAGTTGGTATAGATATCGCTATATGTTATGTCTTTATGTGTATATTATGCCTATACATGTACGTTATATCTATATGTGCATGTTATGACTATATGTTTTTTATCCATTTCTATATGTGTATGCTACGTCTATATGTGCTTTATGTTTATCTATATGTGTATGCTACGTCTATATGTTTTTTATCCATTTCTATATGTGTATGCTACGTCTATATGTGTATGCTATATGTCTATATGTGCTTTATCTCTATCTATATGTGTATGTTACGTCTATATGTGTATGCTACGATTATATGTGCTTTATCTATATCAGGAGTAGATAATAGAAGAATCTACTCCTGTCTATATCTACATATATATGCTATCGTCGAGCTCTAGATGCTATGTCTATATGTGCTTTATCTCTATCTATATGTGCATACGTACTATAACAGCAGCCGATAACTTGCCTGTAATGCGCTGCATTGCAGAGTGCTACGTGGAGCGATGCGTGGAAGGCTTCGTAGGGTGCGCCACCAACGCCGCCAGCAGCGAGGAATTTGCGAGCTGCATCATGGTGCACCGGATGTGCGGCACCAAGTGTGGCAGGATTGATCATCCCGGAACGATGACCATCGCTGACTAACTTCACCGGCGTTCTCCGTTCAGTCTCTGTGCTCTACGTTTCGGCGCCTTAGAGAGCAGTTCTCAACGATTACTACCGTGAAATTTGTATATGTATATATATAGTCTTGTCTGTTTGCCGCCGAGCGCCTTCTTGCGTGCCGTCAGCAGCGCCCTCTGGGGGCCGAGTTCGATACGAAGTGCTGTTATGATTTTTTTTCAGCGTGATTTCGCGTGCGTAGTTGTATGTCGAGTGATTATTATGAGATATGAATAATTTTTATTGATTCTTCTTCTTCTTGATAATAGCTTATGGTGCCCTGCAATTGTCATTTTAGCGTTTAAGGCGGACTTACGCGTTCATGCCGATGCACAATTTAGCGGATGATGACGCTCAGATAAAAAAAATTCGAGAAACACGGCGATCTAATATCGATTGCTTGATCAACGTGACCCTTCTTGAAAGAGGAAACGTAGTTTTACGTTGCAATCGCGGCGTGCATCATGTGGATGGCCGGAATCTCTCCGAGTGTAGTAGAGAGACCTATGCGGAGCGGTCTCTTTGACATTTAACTATATATATATATGACAAGTCGTAGAAGAACTTGATCGATTGAAAAATAAAAGTTGGGTTATCATCAACAATATTGGTATCGTGTTTTAATTAATATATTCGATGTTAGTTGTTGTTTTGTTTTGTTTCAGTTCTTCACGCCTTGCGTGGTCTTTTTATTTATTTTATTGTAGAGAATACGACTCCGGAATATATATATACGCATATCATGCGGAAAACTGTACGTAAAACACAAAAAGCACAACTTTCACTTACAATGTACTCGTTGTTTCTTGCACTTTCTTTTTCTCGCATCGTCTATGATTACGATAGTGTCTATTATTATTATTATTATTATTATTATTATTATTTTACCTTCTCAATGCTTGAAGTCGCTCCGACCCGAACAAAGTCGTCCGCCCGAACGAAGTCCGTGCCGACCCAATGAGGGGAGAGGAGAGAGAGAGTAGGACGAGGAGAGAGAGAGAGGAGAGATTTTGTTGCGTAATTAAACATGCACTAAAACCAGTAAGTTGAAACAGAAAAGCTGGGCATCATCAGGCCCTAGTAATGTAAAATCCAGGACAAGTTCGGCCCGAATGCAAATATAGGTTGACTAACAGATAAGTTGTCAGGCGAAGACGAACGTGTGCTGGCAAACGTAGATGTATTAGCTACGAGCGCGCCAAAATGTAAACCTGTGGTCGCTCTCACGAAGCCACGCCAATCTGGCGGGAGGTGCCCGCGATTGGCGAGATCAACGTTGAATGACTGGATTTGCTGAGTCCTCGCGTCGGCTGCGTGGCAGCCCTTCGCGTTCTGTATCGCCGGAAGTGTCGGTGAATAGAGTGCGTCGACACATCCGCTCGAGGCCGCAGAGTCCATAACGGTTACCCACCTTTACTTTCTGGATAGAATATGGATCGTAGAGGTGCATAATGAGAACTCTGCTCGAAAATAAGAACGGCGTAAAAATCACATGTAGAAGCATATCCTCAGTGATTGGCATAACCTGCTCCTAATAGCATCTTGAATAACATCTCTTGTACTAAAATCTTCAAAACACAAAAAGTTAAGCTGACCTACTATGTTTAATATGAATTCAGTTATCTGAGGACTAACAATATTTCTGTAAAGCTATCTAGTGTCGAAGAGCGAGGACTAAATACTTATCACGACATGCAGTTACGCTTTCATGAGGGCGAAAGTAGCTAACTATCCAAGATAAATCAAAATCCACTCACACACCTGCCACCATGTCTCTCCACACTCACACGTGCACGACGTCTGCACACACTAGTACGCCTCTATCCTGCTCAGCATGACGCTCAGCATACATGCTCTCACATGACCTTCACAGTACATCTCTCACATGACTCCAGCATACATCTCTCACAAGCCCATCCGCCATCTCGCCACATGACCTCAGCATACATCTCATGGCACACGCCATCCCCCATCTCTCACATGACCTCACATACATCTCCTCACATGACCTCACAACTACATCTCCTGCACACCCTCGCCCCATCTCTCACATGACCGTCACATAGCATCTCTGAGCACTCTGCCCCATCTGCTCACATGACGCTCACTATGAAAAAAACATCTCTCTACACTCTCCGCCCATCTCCTCACATGACCGCTGCAGCATACATCTCTCAGCACCTCCCTGGCAAATCTGCTCACTGACGACTGCCTCCCCATCTCCGTCATCTCACAACCCTCGGCCCCATCTCTCATTCACCCTCCGCCATCTCTGACTCACAACCGTCCCCGCCATCTCTCACTGACGCCTCCGTCCCCATCTCCCGTCTCTCACGCATCTCTCTGCCACGCCATCCGACCCATCTCATGCTCACACCCTCCCTCGTGCCATCTCTCCACTTCACCGCTCGCCCCATCTCTCTCAAATACCCTCCGCCCCATCCTCTCACTGCACGGAGGCCTCCCCATCTCTCACTGACGGGCCTGCCTCCCCATCTCCGTCTGCTTCACGGCAATCTCTCTTCACATGGCGCCCGCCCCCCATCTCTTCACTCATCCTCATCCCATCTCTCTCACACCGCTCCCCCATCTCTCACTGACCCTTCCCCCATCTCTGCTCACACCTCCCCATCTCTCTCCACACGACGGCTGCCCCCATCTCTCACTCACAGCTCCCCCATCTCTCTCACACGCCTCCCACCATCTACTCACCTGCACCTCACCCCTCATCTCTCACTGAACCTCGCTGCCCATCTCCGTCTTTCACCATCTCTCTCGGAACACGCCTCCCCCATCTCTCTTCACACGCCTTGCCCCCATGCTGCTTCATTCACTCGTCATCGCCACCGCCATGCTCTTCTCACACGCCTGCCCCCCATCTTCTCACTTCGAACCCTCCCGCCATCTCTCACTGACCTCCCGACCCGATCTCCGTCTCTACGCATCTCTCTCACACCCTCGACGCCCATGCTCTCCACTCACACTCCCCATCTAATGCATGCACACCCTCCTCCGCCATCTCTCACTGACCCTCCCCCCGATCTCTCTCAACAATCCTCGCCAGCCATCTCTGCCCAACCCTCGCCCCATCTCCTCACTCACCCTCCCGCATCCTCTCTGCAACACCCTCGCCCCATCTCTCGACTGCACGACCTCCCCCCATCTCTCACTCACCCTCCCCAATCTGCTTCACTGACCCTGCCCCGCCATCTCTGTCCTTTCCACGGGCCACTCTCTCACAACCTCTCCCCATCTCTCAATTCACCCGGACTCCCCGCATCTCTCTCACAGACCGCCTCCCCCATCTCTCACATTCACCTCAGCGCCCATCTCTCTGCACCAGCCCTCCTCCCATCGTCTCACTGACCCTGCCCGCATCATCTCTGTCACACGCTGCCCGGCGCAGTCTCTCACCATCCCCCTCCCCATGCTCTGCTCACAACCGCTCGCCCCATCTCTCACTCAGCCCTCCCCCTACTCTCACTCACAGCGCTCCCATCATCTCTCACTGCACCGGCGCGGTGTCATCGGCGAGAGGCCATCCTCGCCATCTGCCGTCTTCACGGCATGCTCCTCTCAACGGGCCATCCTCACCGCCATCTCTCTACACCCGCCTCCACGCGCCCCATCTCTCATTCTCACCCTCGCCCCATCTCTCTGCACAGCCCTCGGTCCATCTCTTCACTCACGCTCGCCCCATCTCTCACTCACGCCTCCTCCATCTCCGTCTATTCACACCATCTCTCTCAACACCCTGCCCAATCTCTCTCACTACACCTCCCCATCTCTCATTCACGCCTCGGCCGCGCATCTCTGCTCACATCCTGCCCCATCTGCTCACTCCACGCTCCGCATCTCTCTGCACAAGCGCCTCCCGCCAATTCCTTTCCTTTTTTGTTCACGTGACCCTCTCCCCCATCTTCTAACACGCCTCCGCCCATCATCTCTCCCACCCTCCCCGCATCTGCCTCACTGCACCGCTCCCCAGCCATCTCTCTCACAACCCTCCCCCGCATCTTCTCAAGGCTCACCCGTCCAGCCCATCTCTCCACTCAGCCTCCCGGCCATCTCTCAACGTCAGCGACCGCTCCCTAATCTCTCACTGCACCGCTCCTCACCATCTCCGTCTTTCACGCATCTCTCTCCCACCGCTCCTACCCCATCTGGCTGCTCACACGCCTCACCCATACATTCATTCACACCTCCCACCATCTCTCTGCACGTCGCCTCGGGCCCATCTCTCCACATCACCTCCCCCATCTCTCACTGACCCTCGCCGCCCCATCTCCGTCTCTCACCATCTCTCTCTCACATGGCCCTACCCCCATCTCTCACTCACCCTCCCCCAATCTCTCTCACAATCACGCCCCTCCCGAGCCATCTCTCACTGACCCTCCCGCTCATCTCATCTCAACAGCCGCCTGCCCCCCATCATCTCTCACCACCACCTCCCCCATCTCTGCACGTTACCCTCGGTGCCCTCCCCATGGCTGCTGCTCACACCCTCCCCATCTCTCACTCACCCTCACACCATGCTCTCACTCACGCGCCTGCCGGGCGGCCCCGCATACTCTCACTGACCTCCCCATCTCTGTCTTTCACCATCTCTTCTCACACCCTCTCTCCCATCTCTTAATCAACCTCCCTCCATCTCTGCTCACACGGCCTGTCCCCCATCTCTGCACTCCCCCTCCCGCCATCTCTCTCACACGGTCGCTTCCCCGCATCTCTCACTCAGCCCATGCCCCATCCTCTCACTCAGCCGCTCCTCGATCTCTGCACTCACGACCTGCCCCCCAT